AAATTTACACCCCTAAGCGAGACGACGAGCATCCCCGTCCATTCCATATGGGAGTCCCCCCCCCGGGGGTGTCACGTTTCACATTTCAAAAATTGACAGCACGGTCTTGGATCAAACAGATCAAACGCTCTATGAGATCATCAATACAGTTGATACAGACTTACTGTAACATCCTTTGGTCACAACTGACTCTTAAATTATTGCAATTACGTTGTTTATTACGTTTACTAAAATCTATATCTTTGACCGTTTATACGTAGTAGTAAGGTTAAGAAAAAAGTATTTTCGCGTTGTTCGACTTCATATTTTGTTATGGTATCATCGGCGATGTCAAGGCGTGGAAGAACAGTTTATCGGTGGTTTTTACTCACTCTTAGAATATACAGTTCATGTCTGATAACTGGAAACCTTTGGCAACTCGAATCTCGATCGTGCTGACTTGAACCGAAATTCATTTCCGCTGGGTTTGCTTCCTATACATTTATACCTTTCAGGGACATTTTCTTTATAGTTAAATCCCTTCAACGTCAGTTTTCAAAGTCTTATGAGTCGTAGCTCTTCAGAATCATCGACAAAAAGAGTATTGACTGGAGAAAGCTATTCGTGAAAGGAATAGTAACTCATTACAACAACTTACCATAGAATGCCATCGTAATATTCATCTGATGCTTTGCTTTATTTTCTTTTATTCCCTTCAGATCTTTGATGATGTGTTTTGTTGGCAAGATATCGTTCCAATTTTATCCGAAGTCTCCGTGAGAAACCTGATTGAAACGCTCGCCGTTTTATTCTCTAAGTTCCGGTCATTTGTCCCTATTTCTGATAACTCGAACTCCCGATAGCTCCAACCTTTTTCGATTTCTCTTGACGCTCAGTCTTATCGATAGTTATCGGGACATGGAACTTCGAGACTGGAGAATCTGATACTACCTCTTGATCGATTGGCGAATTTCAGGACAGTAATTATTTCCCGGATTTACTTTCGTTGGAGCTTCTGGTTGTCGAAACCACAATCCTCGAACAAATTTGCCAGTTACTAGTTTCTAAAGAAAGCGGTTGGACTGC